TTGCAGGAGCTTTTTCCTTTACAACTGCGTTGATCCAACAACATCAAAGCTAAGTCAAATCAGATACTGTACCTGATGAACTATCTCTTCAAGGGTTTGAGCATCAAATTGAACTCAAGAAGGAAAAGCACCAAGTTACATGTATAGGAAGAGAAGAACAGAGAAGAACTCACCTTCTTGTCTCTGGTCCTTACTTCCCCATAGAAATCTAGAGCTTCTTGAGCCTTTAAAAACTTCCCTCGATGCAACAAATATGCACAAATCATGACACCAGTTCGTCCCTTCCCAGCTTTACAGTGGATTGCTGCAACATGATTGTCATCTTCACTTAGCCACTGGTCAAGATCTTCACAAAAAGGTTTGATAAGCTCCAGCTGTGGTGGGTTATGGTCTTCAAAAGGGTACTGTGCAACTGCAAGGAGAAGGAGGAATACATCAAGACCTCAAAGGGAAATACAGCAAACTCAAACAGCGCAGCATTGGGACAAGCATGTAGACATTAACATGTTAAATAACACAACCTACTTAAATATAGATACATCATTTTTATTCAAATATTATTCAGCAATTTGCTGCATATTGTAAGTATATAATCAACCCTGGCAGTGTTCAAAGCCAGGTTGGCTAAAGCCTTGAGCAACCTGTTCTGGTGGGAGGTGTCCCTGCCCAGGGCAGGGGGTTGGCACTGGATGATCTCTGAACTCCATTCCAACCCCTTCACAATTGACTTAACTGGCAATACTTATGGGGTTTACAGTCAAACCACTGAATAACATTATCCTCCTTTCTTCTCTGGGTGTGTACATGTACACACACTTGTTTCCATCTAGAGATGGAAAGAATTTCAAAAGAACATAGAGAGAATGAAAGAAAACTCAAGGGAGCAAAAAATAAGCAGAGAGAAGCACTCAAAGATCTAACACCTCAGCTGAGACGACAATGTCACTCCGACCCGCAGAATTCATAGAATCATAAAGGTGGAGGAGACCTCAAGGGTCATCAAGTCCAACCGTTAACCTGTCACTACAGGAACCCCTAAACCATATCCTCCAGATCCAGATGCCTCTTAAACACCTCCAGGGATGGTGACTCCACCACCTTCCTGGGCAATATTCCAGTGCCTGAACAACCTCACAGGGAAAACATTTCTCCTCACATCTCCTCTGACTCTGCCCTGGCTCAGCTCAAGGCCATTCCCTCTAGTCCTCTCCCTGCAGCCATGGCAGGACAGACCACCCCCCACCTCTCTCCAAGCCCTGTCAGGGAGTTGCAGAGAGCCATGAGGTCACCCCTGAGCCTCTTCTCCAGGCTAACCAAGCCCAATTCCCTCAGCCCTTCCTCACAGGACATGTTTTCTAGACCTAATTACATGGCATGTTCTAGATTCACCAAAACAGCACTTGAAATGCTCCCCAATCCTCCATCAATAGCCTTGGGACCTTATAAATACAACTCTGGTTGACTCAAAAATGCTCAGCTAGGAACACCATTGCCTTTTCTGGCCTAAAAATGAATTCATTTCAGTTTCTGGCAAGTGTTTGTATTCATTCCGTCAGTACAACTCCAGTCACATACACAAAGTTCCTCTTGATGAATCCCCAAGGACTCAGAGAGCAAAGTGAGGGATGAAGTTATGGAACTGCAGCAGAAGTCCAAAGCCTTAGGGAGGTATGTGCAAGGACAGTTTATTCACTCCCGCAAACACTGCCCACGTCAGCTCCCATAGGACCAAAGAGGGAAGCCCAACAAAATAATCTTTGCTAAAGAAACAACAAAGGTTAACAAACATGAATACAGTAATAAATCCTTCCATGTGGAAGAGCCAACGATTCCCCAAATGGTGGTTTTAAGTGGAGGCAGAGATGTCATTTTGCAGCAGACGGAAATGAAAGGAGTTTAGTTAGAAACCTCCCAAGAAAAGAAACTGACAGGAGATGCTGAAAATGTGTCTGTACAACTTTGAGTCTATCCTAAATCTATCCAGGAAGGTCCCATGAAAAACAAAGTCAAAGTACAGCCTCAAAGAACAGCCTGAAATATCCCAAGGAGTCACATCCTGCTGCATATGCTCTCCAAGATACGGGATTCAAAGGCAAACCCTGTGGTATCTTCTTCACAGAAGGAATGAGTAGATGATGACATAGGTGCCCTGTGATGATATGAAGGTGTTAAGAAGAAAAACAAGTGCTGAGCAAGTCCTTGAGAAGGTGCAGTCTTGTATGGATTTTGACTCTGGACACACAGCACGGAAAATGGTTCTCACTACTCTCTCCATGCTCTTAGATGCTGCAAGAAAAACCCCAAGCACATAAAGCAGTGAAATGAGTACAAAGAAAAGGCTGTGGCACAGCAGAAGGCAATTTCCAGTATGGAAGTGGTTTGGAAACTACAAACACTCTTACTGTTTGAGCTAATGCCCAAAGAAGATGCAGATCTTTCAACATTTGGGGTTTAATTTGATGCAGGAGCATCCAAGGTGAATAATGAGCTACTCTGGTGTTTCATGCTCCAAATAAGAAGCTCCCTCTGCATTTAATTCCCTTCAGGAGGTTTCAAAGTAGAACTGTTGTTCCTCTCCTGAGGGAAGTCCTGAGTCACCAACTTGGTTATCTAAGGTTAACTATTTAGGGGGACGAAGAGAGAAAGATGCAACATGTTGTGTTGTGCAGAGGAGCTGTGAAAGGTGCTGTCATCAACACCACTTTGGGCTGGGATTGACAGTGAAGGGATGTGACACCTCCAGATCAAAATGCCTCGATTAAAGCAAACATATGTTCTGGCCTTATTAGGAACATTTTTACTTACTCCTTTTCTCTTCTTACCCAAAGTTCTGCTAAAACAGATCTTAAAATACATTTTCCTGGCTGGTATGTATCAAGTGAGGTGTCAGGAACTGTCACTCAACAGCCCAAGAGCAAATCAGAAGTGATGATGACTTCAGCATGACAATTGCAGTCCTATATTCAGACATTAAAGCAGCCAATGACACTTCGGGCATGTTCAAAATCCTCTTTATAACTAGAAGGATGGTTTAGAATAAAAATAATTAAAGATCAAAAGTTGAGGCCTTGTTGTGATGGAGGATTAGCCAACAAGGCCAAAGTATGTCCATCCCCCACAACTACATAGACACAATTACTCCTCATCTACTCATTCTGAAGCAGAAGAAATCCAAGTTCTACTCCTGTGCACAAAGATGTTTCTCTGCCCAAAGAATAAAGGTAAATCTGTATTTATTTATAAATACTGTCACAACAGGCCCATCAGTTTCCACTTCCCAAGGACCTGCTCAAAAAGCAGCCCTAAACCTTCCCCAAGGTAGCTCTGCCAAGTATTTCAGACCCAATTCATCTCTACGAAGCACCACATGGGAATTAATTGGTTTTTAAAAGCATCAGAAGGTTTGCTCCAGGTCTTCAAATAGTTGTTTTATATCACAGAATCATAAAGGTTGGAGGAGACCTCTAAGACCATCAAGCCCAACCATTAAATCTGTCACGGCTATAACCCCTAAACCATATCCTCCAGCACCACATCCAGACGCCTCTGAAACACCTCCAGGGATGGTGACTCTACCACCACCTCCCTGGGCAATATTCCAGTGCCTGAACAACCTCACAGGGAAAACATTTCTTCTAACATCTCCTCTGACTCTGCCCTGTCTTAGCTCAAGGCCATGCCATTCAGTCCTCGCCCTGCAGCCATGGCAGGACAGACCATCCCCCACCTCCCTCCAAGCCCTGTCAGGGCGTTGCAGAGAGCCATCAGGTCACCCCTGAGCCTCTTCTCCAGGCTAACCAACCCAACTCCCTCAGCCCTTCCTCATGTGCTCTAGCCCTTTGCTGCCCTCCTTGCCCTTGGCTGGACTCGCTCCAGTGCCTCAATGGCCTTTTTGCAGTGAGGGGCCCAAAGCTGAACACAGCACTGAGCTGTGAGCTCCCCAGTGCCGAGTCCAGGGGGATGGTCCCTGCCCTAGTCCTGCTGCCACACTGCTCTTGAGCCAGGCCAAGATGCCCTTGGCCTTCTTGGCCACCTGTGCACACTGTTGGCTTCCATGGAGCTGCTGCCACCAGCACTGCCAAGTCCCTTTGTGACCAACAACATAGTGGCAGTGGCTTAAGTGAGCTTCATTTTTATCCTACATAAACCCGACTCCTCCTAGCTTCACATGGAAATTGTATACTAAGTTTGCACCTGAATCGAACAGAAACTTCTACATAACTCATCCTGCAAACACTTTTGCAACAGCACATTTCTTATTAGAGCTTCATCTGCTTAACTGTGAGGAACATACTTCTCTGAAAGCCCCAACAGAGCAATTCTTTCCACTGACTCAAAGCAGTGTGATATCATTCCTTTTGCCCAAATCTCCTAGAGGAGTATATTAAGCAGCTCCTCCTTTAGACCTTCATTGAGACACACTGGAGTTTCAAGAGATCACACATTAGACAGTCAAAACCTACCTCTGCAGTTAAATTTGGCCGTGTCATAATGTCTTTCAGCACATCTGGAAAAGAGAAAGACAAGAGTTCAGTCTCAGGCACTGCCAATATCTATCACAGCTTGGAAAATCATCTATGCTCATCACCTTTGTGATTTCAAACTAGAGCTAGAGGTTCTATACAGAACAACTGTTTTGCTTCAGACACAAAGTTGCTTATTAAACAGCTATTTTACTGCAAGTCAAATACTTACGCTGTGGTAACTGTTGTCCATTGTATGTTTTAGTCAATGTGACTCTCAATTCATGCAGTGTACTATTAATTTGAACCCTGTAGGATTACCAGCTCCAGCCACTGGCGCAGCTTTCTGCTCCCAAACACAAGAAGAACAGACAGATGGGACCTTCACCCAAATGATTCTGGCCTCAAAGCACAGGTGTCTCAACAGCAATATGGGTGCTAGGAGGGATGGGGACTACAAGGACATTTCAAGGACTCTCAGCTAGTGCAACCTGAACAAGCATACTTCCTCCAAGTCCAGGAACACCACAAGGCCACCAGAGGCAACTGAAAGCCTCACTGAGTATTCTACTGGAGACTGCTTGGATCAAGCTGAGATTGTGATGCTGCTCTCCTAACTTGGTTCTTGAAATTACAGAATCAGTCAGGTTGGAAGGGGCCACAGTGGGTCATCTAGTCCAACCTCCTTGCTCAAGCAGGGCCAGTCCAGAGCACAGGGCTCAGGATTGTGTCCAGATGGCTCTTAAACACCTCCAGTGATGGAGAATCCACAACTCTAGGCAACCTGTTCAGTGCTCAAACACTCTAATAGGCAGTTTGGGTACAGTCTCTCCCTTTTTAGACAGTAAAAGGATTTAGGTATTGATGGATGGAAGCATGGCAAGTGACATCAGAGCCAGGGAAAGTATCCTAGCCCTGTTTCACCTGCAAGCATGGGAATAATGAGGAAAAATAGGGATACAATGAGACTGACAGCAGGGTATCCAACACAGTGAGCCCTGAGCACACCTGAGCTTGGAGTAAGATATTTAATGCAGTATAGTCCTGCTTCCCAATCCTTGGTAAGCTCATCTGGAGATCTCTAAGGCAATACCTGGCTGCCCAGCATAGATTTAAGTAGGATTCAGCTCACATGCCATGAGCCACCTAAAAGCTGATGTTTGAGAGCAAAACTACCTAGAGTTCTGCCTTCGCTTCAATCTCTCTAGAAGACTCCAGAGACTCCAAAAAGGGGTGTTGCAGCTCTGTTCCACCTCTCATGCTGACCAGCGCTCAGCAATCATTACCTGAAATCTGAGCAGTACAACTAAACTACTTTTCAGGTTCTCATCTAACTAGACCAGTAACTAAAGGGGCCTGCAAGAAGGCTGTGGAGGGACTATGGACAAGGGCATGTAGGGATAGGACAAGGGCACGTTTAACTAAAAGAGGAGAGATTTAGATTAGATATTAAGAAGTTAGTCCCTGTGAGGGTGCCGAGCCACTGGCACAGGTTGCCCAGAGAATTTGTGGGTGCCCTGGGAGTTCAAGTGGACTCAAGAGGCCAGGCAGTCACTTTCCCCCTCACAGATGCTGGAAAACACATTTCTGAAGGTTCTGGAGTTGGATGCCTCTCACCACTCTGACACCCTCTCTAGATAGCAGCACAGCAAACCACACTGCAGCATGACTTGCCATGGGACACACACTAGTTATCAGACAGAAACAACCCCATCAGCTGGGCTCTAACACAGCCAAAAGGGCATTCTCCAAGGGAACAACTAGATCAGATGTTGGGGGTAAGGGGAAGAAGGCAAGAGTGGTTACCCTCCACAATGTTCCTCTCTGCAGGCCAAATGAGTGTGAAAGGGCAGACAGGAAAAGGAGAACAACCATGCCTCAAATCCTGCCAAGGGGAGGTCGGACAGGGCTTGGAGCATCCTGGGGTAGAGGGAGGTGTCCCTGCTCATGGCAGGGGGTGGAATGAGATGAGTTTAAGGTTCCTTCCAACCCAAACGAGTCTGGGATGCTCTGAAACAGGACACCAGGCAGAAACACCACAACTGGGAGTCATTTCAGTAGCTGAAACACACCTAGATCTTCTGCCCTGATTATAACTTGTGCTCTTCACAGGACTCCCATTCCCACACTAGTTTCAGGAGTGGTATGAACTCATCTCTTCTTCCCAGGTATGCTATGACTGCAGCCTTTGGAGCTGCATGGAGCTTACTTGACACTTTCAGACACGCAAACCTTTAGGTTCCTATGTGCATGACAAACTGGAGCCTCACAGCACTGCACTGAGCTTTGTCCATGAGACTCATACACCAGGGACAGGTCTGCTGGGGTTGCATATGCTCTCAGTGCTTTCCCTTCCTCCGAATTCCAGAGCCTTCTCTAGGCCTCTGTTAGGGGAAAGGTTTGACAGCTTTCACAGCTCTGACCACGTTGCTGACACCTTCTCTGGGTCAAAGCAACACAACACAGGTTAAGCTGCTGATGGGACTCACAAAAACATGATCTTTGAGAAGGTGAGATGCAGGATCTACACTTAGGATGGAGTCACCACTCCCAGAGCAGCCACCAGCTGTGCTGGGCAAAGCCTGTTACAAGCCAGTCAGCATCTGGGCTTTGGGAGCTGAGCCTGCTAGGAAGCAAAGGAGTTAACACAAAGCATCTTAGCCAAGGTTTCCTGCTTCCTCTTAAAGAAACACCCAATTCAAATGGGCGGTAAGAAAGTACTCAAAACATGAGAAAAAAATCCCACATCTGGGCAGAAAAAGCCTTCAAATCTGGAAGTGTGAGAGAGTAGCAAGTAGAATCCCATGAAAGATAAATAGTTTGGCTGATACCAAGGATGAAACTGAGCACAGAGAACAGCCATGTCCTTCTCTATGCCCTTTTGGGAGTTGGACACAAGCAGTACAGAGCTCCAGAGCACCAAATTCATGTGTGTATAGCACCTGACACACGCTTTGAGGCATGTTGCAAGGGCTTAACACTTCTAATGCATGAATTTGGTGACCACCAATGTATATGTGCAGCAGAGATGTCCCTGACACATACTTTGGGGGACGCTGCAGGGGCTTAACACTTCTAATGCATTGGTGGTTTGTTTAAGCACTATTAGACCTGTAATAAACAGATCTCCACATGAAACCTGAAGGTTTCTTTGCATTTTGGGGCAAGGAGAGGGTTGGCACAGCTCTTTGAGTCCTTCTGATGATTAAAGTTGAGGTTAAAGCAACCCAGAAGCTAAGTGGTGCCACCCAGGCACCTCCATCATCAGTCATGACAGGACTAAAGGCTTCCTCTGCTAAAGCCCATGGACACAGAGGGGCAAAGCATGCACATGAAACCCACAGTGTCCATCCCAGCTCCTTCCTCTATCCATCTGCCTGTAGGAGACTTGAACCTTTACTAGACTGAACCTTTCCTGCCCAAGGAAATACACTGGAGGAGATGGAGATGATTACAACAGGGGAGGGAACAGTTTGGCAGCAGGTGGGTAGGAAAGTGGAAGAATGTATTAAATAAAGAATACTGAAGAAATAGTAAAGGGTTAAGGGTAAGAACCAACACAAGAAGCAAAAGGAAACTGCTCAAACCCTCCCTGAAAAGTTAAAAGCCAAGATGTGAGGATAAGGCAGAAAAACCTCTAAATCCTTTTAACTAGAACTGCTCAATACTTAGATTATTACTGACTTCATGTACAGCTACCTTAGGGGAACTCAAACCCCATGACAGTGCTTGAAATGACTCTGAATATAGCCACATAACTCCTCTAACTCCCACCTCCTCCTTTCAGGCACAGACAATAGGTGGTTACTGGAAACTCTCAAAAGTGAGGTTGAAGCAACCCAGAAGCTAAGTGGTGCCACCCAGGCACCTTCCTCATCAGTCATGACAGGACTAAAGGCTTCCTCTGCTAAAGCCCATGGACACAGAGGAGCAAAGCATGCACATGAAACCCACAGTCTCCATCCCAGCTCCTTCCTTTAACCATCTGACTGTAGATTTGAACCTTTACTAGACTGAACCTTTCCTGCCCAAGGAATTACACTGGAGGAGACGGAGATGATCACAACAGGGGAGGGAACAATTCAGCAGCAGGTGGGTAAGAGATTAAAGTGGAAGAACATGGTAAATAAAGACTTCTGAAGAGATAGCAAAGGGTTAAAGCAACACAGGTGAGAACCAACACAACAAGCAAAAAGAAACTGCTGAAACCCTCCCAGGAAAGTTAAAAGCCAAGAGGTGAGGATGAGGCAGAAAAACCTCTAAATCCTTTTAACTAGAACCGCTCAATACCTAGATTATTACCAACTTCATGTACAGCTACCTTAGGGGAACTCAAACCCCATGACAGTGCTTGAAATGACTCTGAATATAACCACATAACTCCTCTAACTCCCACCTCCTCCTTTCAGACACAGACAATAGGTGGTTATTGACAAAGGATCAGCTCCAGCTGAAGTGGTGAAGCTCTCTGGAAAACCTATGGATGCAATTCTTTCCCATCTCTTGACTTAACAGTGTAATAATACACCTAACGGCACTTATTAACATGTGTATAAATTTGGCCTGCATGAAGATTATGAGCTAACTTGGCCTCTCCAGACAGGGATCTACAGCTCCGCAGTAACCACTTGAATCTTCATTTGCAACTGGGGGAAGAAAAGCCCCAGACTTTATTTAAAAGGATGTTTTATCCTGCAAAAGTTTATCTGAGTGTGAATATAGTAATTAAGAAGTTTCACTTGGGACTGTTTTCAAGTTAGCAACAAGAAAATCCATTTTGCTATGTAGAACTTGCAGACAAAAAGCCTTTGGCACACCTGGACAAGTTCTCCCCACAGGCTTTTGTCTCATCACAGCTCTTTCACTCAGGAACCTTAAAGCTGTTCCTGTGTAGCACTGAGGGACTGTTTCGGGGACTTTTTAAATAAAATGAGGTTGTTGCACTCAGCAAAGTGGAAACTACTCAAGTACCACCTCCCAGAGGAGCTACTTGCTAAGACACATCAGCCTGACTAAAATCCTATTTGCTGACCAAGCCTAGAGGGTCACACAGAGCAACCTAAGGAGGTTACCTGTCACCTCTCAGACCAAACTGGAACAAGCAGCTCATGTGAGGCAAACCCAGATCTTGTGAGTGATCCCACAGCCACATTTCCCAGCAGCTGACAGCTGGAATCAGGCCCAAGCAGCAGGTGGACACTGAGCTGGAGCGGTTCTGTTCAGAGGGCTGTGCTGCCCTTCAGAGGGACCTGGACAGGTTGGAGAAATGTGCAGAGCAGAACCAACTGAGATTCAAGAAGGGCAAGTGCAGGTCCTGCCCCAGGAGAGGAAGAACCTCAAGCACCAGGACCGGTTGGGCACTGACCTGCTGCAGAGCAACTCTACAGAGAAGGACCTGGAGGTCCTGGGAGACAACAAGCTGACCATGACCCAACAGCGTGCCTTGGTGAGTAAGAAGGCCAATGGAATCCTGGGATGCATTGGGAAGAGCATTGCCAGCAGGTCAGGGAGGTGATCCTGACCCTCTGCTCAGCCCTGGTGAGGCCACACCTGGAGTGCTGTGTCCAGTTCTGGGCTCCTCAGTGCCAGAGGGACATGGAGCTCCTGGAGCAGGTCCAGGGGAGGGCAGTGAAGATGCTGAAGGGACTGGAGCACCTCCCTGATGAGGAAAGGCTGAGGGAGTTGGGGCTGTTCAGTCTCAAGAAGAGATGACTGAGAGAGACCTCAGTAATGTATTCCAGTACATGAATGGAAAGTGCCAAGAGGATGGAGCCAAACTCTTCTCACTTGTAGAAACCAAGAGGTAACAGTAGAAACTGATGCCCAGGAAGTTCCACCTGAACATAAGGGAGAACTTCTTTCCTGTGCATTCACTGAGCACTGAACAGATTGCCCAGAGAGGCTGTGGATTCTCCCTCAATAGAGATGTCATGTGCTCTGGGCTGGCCCTGCTCGAGCAGGGAGGTGGGACCAAATGACCTACTGTGGCCCCTTCCAACCTGACCCATTCTGGGATTCTGCTTTGCTCCTCCAGAACATGCAGAAGCTGTCAAGAGGCTTCAGGCGTGGTGACAAACCAGGGCAGTTCTATCTGACATGATCCTGAGCTCTGGAAGGCTTCAAAGGAAGAGGGGCAGAAACTACCTCCTCAGAGAGCTCCACCTACATGCAGCAGGAGCCTTCAGCTCCTCTAGGAAGCACTGACCTTCTCACCCAGAAACTGTATCCAGGAATTCAAAGGTTACCATTCTGCAGAGCTTCTAAGATGGAAAACACATTTTTGCCACTGGATTGTAGGAAAGATATGACATTTTATTTACATGTATTTTTCTGTCTCATCCTACCTCAGGCTTTACAGACAACTTCAAGAACACACTTTCACAGCTTGTGGTATCACTTCTCTCCAACATCAGAGTTATATAGCAGTATAACCTCTCAGCTAACTCAGAGGCAGATTTAAGTGCTTATTTTTAATGACCAACAGACTATACTGCCAGGCACTGCCTGGATTTCCACACTATGCTAATTTTTCCATTAATTACAGATATTTAGCCACATACTCATTTAAAAGAAATTGAAGCTTAACAGTTCAGAGAAACAATAAATCTTCAGCTTAGACTTCTAGGAAAAAAACGAGGGGTAGGAAAACCATGACCTACTTTTTACCATCACAAAATCATTGATACAAATGAAATTAGCCTAAGCTAATATAACATGAAAAATTTGATTGAGAAACAGCAACAAAAGCCCAAACCCTCCTGTAACAATAACAGCTTTCTGCATAACTCAATTTTCAGAGGAAAACATTACATTTAAAGAAGTGAGAAACCATCACCAAGTGCTCCAACAGTTTTATCAAAGCACTAAACAGGGAACAACAAGAGTGAGGAAGCAAATAGAGCGTGGGGAAAGATATAGTTAGGTTAAAAAACCTAAAGGAAACCCAAGAAAATCTTCATTTGGTAATTCCTTCCTGGCAGACACTAATACACGAGATAAAGCCTGCTGTGAATTACTTTGCACTTTTGGATCACATGGTATAAGCTGCAGATGGGCGGGAGGCCAAGGCATTTCAGAGCCTTCAAGTAAGTAATAGCAATCCACACCAGCATTTCATTTCACCTCACTCAGCTCTACTCAGAGAAGTCCCAGAGCTCTCAATCAGGAGTCACTGTCTTACAAAATGAGCAAAACATCTCCAGTTCTGCTTTAGGACAGCAACAAGCCACTTGCACTCCCCTAAGCTAATTACAAGGCTCATTATTTGGGGAAAATCTAAGAGGATACTTACAGATTGTATATCTTGTAATGGTTTTTATGCTTTGAATCCAAAAACCTGAAGGAGGAAGGAAAAGAAAAAAGCATGGATTAATATACATTGCAGTCATGGTGACCTTAATTTGCAGCACCCTCAAAGCATCGCCAGCTCTGCCTTGCCAGGCCCTGATGGGGCCTACAGTGCCTCAAAGTCAAACTGTGTGTTGCAAACCTGATAAAAACAATACAGCAGCATGGATGAGATGAGTAATGCAGCTAAGGGAAGCAAGATAAGGTTTGGTGATGGTTCTGCCTGTGGGACACAACAACCCCATGCAGCTCCAGGCTGGGGGAGGAGTGGGGTGAGAGGTGTTGGTCACAAAGGGACTTGGCAGTGCTGGTGGCAGCAGCTCCATGAAAGCCAACAGTGTGCACAGGTGGCCAAGAAGGCCAAGGGCATCATGGCCTGGCTCAAGAGCAGTGTGGCAGCAGGACTAGGGCAGTGACCATCCCCCTGGACTCGGCACTGGGGAGCTCACAGCTCAGTGCTGTGTTCAGCTTTGGGCCCCTCACTGCAAAAAGGCCATTGAGGCACTGGAGCGAGTCCAGCCAAGGGCAAGGAGGGCAGCAAAGGGCTAGAGCACATGAGGAAGGGCTGAGGGAGTTGGGCTTGGTTAGCCTGGAGAAGAGGCTCAGGGGTGACCTCATGGCTCTCTGCAACTCCCTGACAGGGCTTGGAGAGAGGTGGGGGATGGTCTGTCCTGCCATGGCTGCAGGGAGAGGACTAGAGGGAATGGCCTTGGGCTGAGACAGGGCAGAGTCAGAGGAAATGTGAGGAGAAATGTTTTCCCTGTGAGGGTGTTGAGGGAGGGACTGAGTCTTCCATTTAACACTGGGATATCCAAGGGAGAACCTTAGTGCAGAACTAGGAAATTGGGATAAAACCAACATGATTTCAAGGGATTTGGGGACAACACTGAAAGGGTGTTCAGGCCCTGGGATATTGCCCAGAGTGGTGGAAGAGTCACCATCCATGGAGGTGTTTAAGAGGCATCTGGATCTGGCACTGGAGTATATGGTTTAGGGGCTCCAGCAGTAACAGGTCAGTGGTTGGACTTGATGGTCTTAGAGGTCTCCTCCAACCCTGAGGACTCTGAGATTCAAAGATCTGACCTGCAAGTGAAATATTTACTGTATAGACTGATTCCTCACATCCCTGCACATCACTCTGCTAAGCTGAGGAAGTGTTGGTTATTGTTAAAGCACAAAGCATTGATGACACCAAGTATCTGCAAACACTCCCAGTGTCATTATCTATGCAACACATTTTGCCACTATGAAAAAAACCCCAGTTAAAATCACTTTAGTGCTGGTTTCAGCCTGAATCATTCACTCTAATCCCATTTTAACTGATCATTCTTTGCCACTGAAGTCTGTCCCCAGTGCTATTCAGAAAGAAGGAGGAACCACCACACTTCACACTCATTTCATGCTCACTTTGGAACCAAAACTTCCCTTCCAAGCCTCAGCAAGGCAAACTGCAACCATGATTCATCAGAATTGCTGTGCTGATCTGTGTCACCTGGCAATGTGCAAGAAGAAATCACATACAAATGTTTACACTTAACATCATCAACAGTGTGGAGCTGCACATCAGCCAGAAGGAATTTAATTAGCCATGACAGAACATGCTGTTCACATTGCAAAGCAACACTAGCTGCTAAAATCCTGGAAAGCTCAAGCAAAAACACACTCTGCTTATCAGTCATAATATTCCAGAAGAACCTAGAGGAACTCTTGTGCTTAAAGTCATGGTTAAAATGAGAACAGATGTGAATGTTTCCTGGGCAGTGCTGAGGGGGAGATTCCGAGTTCAGCAG